TCCCTAACAAAGACGATTGAGTTCTTATCCTTGACCCTCTATAGATCACAATCCTTGTTAGCTTTCTATAATGTTTTTATTTGTTTACTTCCCACATTAATCATGTTATATTATTCTCTTTGATGTCATGTGATAACTACTTTGAACAATAAGGTTGATTACTAGGCTAGATACGAGGGTTGATTTTCAATGATTACTCAACTTAGTTACTATATTATTTTAGAAAGTCACTTCTCTTTTTTATTTCAATTTTTTTTTTGACAAAAAAATAATTTTCTGAGATAATAAATACTATTAATTGAAAAATCATTTGAGAAATCAACTCTCGAATATAGTCTTTTAAATATTCAGAATAATTGATGATAATAATAATTAGAGCAATAGTTTGTCTAGTGACCATATAAGTTAAGCTTGATTACTGGGCTGAATGAGACATTATTTGTCACTCAAATTGTTTAATCTTTATTTAATTATTGCTCTTCTGGTTTTTTTATATTTGTTGTTTAAGGTTTTAGCACAACTCACTTGTTAAAAAGCCTATTTAAAACCCTAGGCTTATGAGCTATATGCTACTCTAAAGGTTGATTTAGACTTACTATTAAACATGTCCTAAAAAACGAAAAATGAACACATGCTTTTATTTTATTTTATCGAAAGTACTTTTATATCAGGACTAAAATTCGAGACTTCTACGGTGATAAAAGGAGACTTATGACTTACTGCTCCTTTACGCGGTTTAAAGTTTACAAAAATCATGAAACATGGATTGTTGCAATTGAGAAGAAAAAAATAAAAGTGTCAATTTGATGGGACAACGTAATAGACTTTGGTCCTAAGTTTACAAGACTTTATATATGTGGATTGTTGACTTAGTCAATTGAAAGTAACAGGTCAATGCATATTTTCTTTATGTTCCCGTGTAAAACCTGTAAACACAATGAATACAATGATGACGATTAAAGGATAGTCTGTCGTGGTTTGACTGAACACGAAATTCTACAAAAAAGTAATGGTAAGATTTACTTAGTCCTTTTATGTTGGCATAATACATAAACAAAACCTTTAATTTGGCTTCAGCCGGTAATTATGATCTTTAACTTTTGTTAAAGAATGACAAAAGTCCCACATCGGTGGTTAATGAGATGGGTGGACTCCTTATAAGGCTTGGGCAATCCTCCTCCTTTTGAGCTAGCTTTTAGGGTGTGAGTTAGGCCTAAGACCTAATTTAACAACTTTGAATGTGTACAAATAAATACTTATATGTGTATGAAATTGAACAAATAAACACATTCACCCTACCTGACAGTTTTGTTTGGCGTCCTACAGTATTTATGGATTTTTTTTTTGAGTTGTAAATGAAGGAACTTTCTATCAAGTGGTTTAATAAATAATATTGGGTGGGACATAAGTCATAACTTTGGTACGTATTGTTCACAAAGTTATATTGGATAAACAAAACCTGTCATTTACACAAGTTATGACCGGTTTGTTCACTTTGGTACAAATTGTTCACAAGGGGATTGACGAAACTTACTATGTGTTGCTTAATCTTTCATATTCTTTGAGGTTTTGCCGGACTGTAATATTCATTCTATCTATCTTGTTAAATTGTTTATGAGTTCTGTCGAACTGGCAAAATGTAGCAATACATAATAGACATGTTTATTAAGTTGAATCGAATTGAACATAAATATAAAAATGTTAAAGATTTTGATTATCTTCGGATATTAAACTTGTAATAAGAATTACATTTTCGCGAATTTATTATTTTGCAGGAAAAATTTACAAGGATATTGTTGGAAGTGCATATTATGTTGCCCCAGAGGTGTTGAGGCGCAAGTATGGGAAGGAGATAGATGTGTGGAGTGCTGGAGTTATTTTGTACATTTTATTAAGTGGATTTCCTCCTTTCTGGGCTGGTAAGTACACTTTCTTTCGCGTAAAATTCACAAATAGTCACTTGTCGTGGGGTTTCAAATTTCATAATATAACTCGAAACTCCATGACAATAGCTATTTTTCAAAAACGTGGACAAAAAGTGGCATGTAACACTATTTTTACTTCTTTTTTTTTCCTACAATAATATGTTCTTAGGTATAGTAGAAAAGTTTTTAGTTGCAAACTACTTTGTCAAGAAACTCATGATGCGTTTTAACTAATTCTCTACATTGACGGCGTACTATCAGGTCGCCTAAAAGATAATTACATGTAACTAACTAAGGTGTCGATTTTGATGAACTAATCTTTTGTTGTAATAGAGTTTTTATTAGGGGGAGATTATTCTCTCTGTAGTTTTAATATTTATTTTTTTATATTAGTTTTTCATACGTAGATCAACTGAACAAAATGTCTTAAAATATCATACCTCTACTCTTTTAGTATATCGCTCTCATGATTTGCAATTATTAGTTTCCGCATGACGATCTGTCATCTAATGTTCTGTTTTTCTTGTACTTGTACATCAGAGACTGAAAAGGGCATATTTGAAGAAATTGTTAAAGGCCAATTGGATTTTGAATCATCTCCATGGCCTTCTATCTCTACCTCAGCAAAGGATCTTGTGAGGAAAATGTTAACAATGGATCCTAAAAAACGTATCACTGCAGATGAAGCCCTCCGTAAGTGCATATACATCTCGATATGTATTAATTTCACGTATAATCACTAAACGTTGAATTGATAACGAAATCATGTTGATAATGTATGATGCAGAACATCCGTGGCTTATGAAAGACGGTGAAGCATCGGACAAGCCTATTAATAGTGCTGTTTTGACAAGGCTGAAGCAATTTAGAGCAATGAACAAGATGAAGAAACTCGCTCTTAAGGTACTGCAAAGTAACATTTTCTCTCTTCGTTCCAGTTTATGTGACACATTTTTCGTTCTGATGCTGAAATATATATACAAATTCCTTGAAAGGTTATCGCGGAGAACTTATCAGAAGATGAAATCAAGGGACTGAAGCAGATGTTCAATAACATGGATACTGATGGGAGCGGTACAATCACATACGATGAACTTAAAACAGGGCTATCTAGGCTAGGATCAAAGCTCAGTGAATCTGAAATAAAACAACTGATGGATGCAGTAAGAATGTTAGATTTATTTGTGTCAATTTTATTAAAATGTATACTTTTTTTTGCATTACATTTTCGCGATTGCAGGCGGATGTTGACAACAGTGGGACTATAGACTACATCGAGTTCATTACTGCTACTATGCATCGACACAAACTCGAAAGAGAAGAAAATTTGTACAAGGCTTTCCAGTTTTTTGACAAAGATAGTAGCGGGTATGTATTTTCTCTGTTTTCCTTAATGTCGAACTTATCATGTTCCAAAGGCGCAATATAACAACACTATGATGCATTTCAAAACATGTTTCACCTCCCCCGACTAGTAACAGAGTCAGAAATTTCTACAAGGGGATTTAACATTTAAGAAAATGCAAGGTATATACCGAAAAAATGTTCTTTATCCCAAATGCACAGTATAAATTTCCAATAAACCGGATTCAATTGGTAACAACCTCAACAATCTGAGGGTCATGCTTGTGTTTTTTGAGAACTACAAACATGCAACCTTATCTGCAAATAAGGTCAAACCTCTCTGTAATAACGTCGTTTGTCTGGATATTTTTAAGCTGCTGCAGTGAAATGTTGTTATTGAGAACATATAGTACAACATAACATCAAAAATTTGTTTCAAAGAAAACTTAACCGTTATAGTGAACTGTTATTCGTGAGTATTGTACATGATTATTGGTTTGATTCAACTGTTTTTCGGTTTTCTTTAACAGATTTATCACAAGAGATGAACTTAGACACGCGATGGAAGAATATGGAATGGGGGATGAAGCTACAATAGATGAAATCCTAGATGATGTTGACACAAACAAAGTTAGCCAATTCTCTTATAATTCTTCTACTTTTTCTTTTCAATGCAACAAAGTTTTGTCATATAATTTCTGTTTTCATAAATGTAGGATGGGCTAATCAACTACGAAGAGTTTGCCGCGATGATGAGGAGAGGAACTGTTGATGAAGTGAAGCCAAGATGAAAAAATTGACCATTTCTTCATCTATATGGTAGAGTTGCAAGCATTTTCCTTGAATAAGATCCTCCTGTTGTGTAAAAATTGTAAAATAACAGCAGTTTCAAAGTTTGGAGAGGAGTGTTCAGTTCTTTGTACAACCAGAAACTTATTTGAGTGATAAAAAATGTAACGAAGTGCACCTTTGCTTTAAGCTTTTACCAATGTAAAATTAAGTGAAAGTTAAATAAAAATACACACAAAATCTTGTATGTTGCTCGTATTCTTTGAAAATATTGTTGTATTCATGTTGGTTTTGAAAGGACTCAACATGCCATTTCGTCATTTTTGAAGAGTCTGAGCAACAAAATAGTACTCCCTCCGTCCCTATTTACTTGTCCATATTTCCTCTTTTAGATGTCCCTATTTACTTGTCCATTTTGACAAATCAAGAAAGGACAAAAAAAAAATTCCTATTATACCCTCATTTAAACTTCCCCCAACATTGATTAGTTATCTTGAAAAAATTTATTTTGGAATCATAATTAATAAGGGCAAAATTATAACTTTACTATGCTAATCATTGTTGCCTTAATATGTGTGTCATTTCTAAAGTGGACAACTAAATAGGGACGGAGGGAGTATTTAACAAAATCAGAAGATTGAGTTACCTTCAATTTAGAATTTGTAAATACTTGTTCGCACGTGATGTTTACATCAAATCAATTCAACTTATCATAATTATATGATTTAATAAAGTTAAAATATATTATGTGATTGTTATGTATTAAAACACACGCCAATCATTCATCTGATTGATGTAATCATGTAACCGGCGTATATGTCTTTTCATAAAAATATTAGATAATATATTCCTAAAGTCCTCTAAAATAACACAAAAGAATACTAGGTAATTGATATTTCAACTATTCATTAAAATAGTCTTATTAATCCAAAGGAAACAAAAAACAAGGGAAGTAGAGTACATTCACCGATTAACATGGATTATACTAAGATAATTTGATTTTCAACCTTTAATCAGAGGCATCGAGTTTAAACCTCTAGTCCGAATCCATATTTAGTCCACTCCGATGTTATATTACCAGACACCGAGCTGAAAATTTCGAAGAAAAAAATCTCTACCTAAAACGACGACGCTTTATTTCATATCCATCTTCTTTTTCACCTGTTCTGAAAATACCGCTAATCTCTTCCATCCTCAAGGGACATTGGTGATGCTAGCACTCAATACTACGTCGTTCTCTTTGCTACCACAAAACCCAAAACCATTTTCTCTTTCTAGGGTTTCAAGCTTCATTTGCAGAGCATTTACCAAATTCCCCGGAGACTCAGATTCCGACGACTCACCGGATGAAATTCCCGGCCGGAGGTCCAATTACTCCGGCGTCAAGCTCGAAGAAACAGTTGATGGCAAAACCGGAAAGCTCCGACTAGATTCATGGGTCAGTTCCCGCATCGACGGAGTTAGCAGAGCTCGTGTTCAGTCTAGCATCCGCTCTGGCCTTGTTTCCGTCAATGGTCGTGTCACTGATAAGGTCCCACTGCTTTCCACTCAAATTTATACATATACTATCAATCTTTCAATAATATTTGTTTTTCTGGTTTTAGCTTGGTACGAAGTTTAAGAGGTAAAGAGACTTTCAAATGTTGTAGAATGTACCAAAATATTATTTAATTTCATAGTTTTAAACATGTCACGTGGAAAATTGAAATTGAATTATTGCAAGAAATGGATTTCTACTTGATATTTGAAGTCTGTATAAACATATCTTAAGGATTTCGCTGGCTTAAAATTTTGGATTTTTCTCAGTTTTGATGGTAAAGATTCGATTTTTACTTTGCAGGTCTCACATATGGTAAAAGGTGGAGATAAGGTTGATTGTACAATAGCTGATTTGAAGCCTTTAAGAGCTGAACCAGAGGATATACCATTGGATATAGTGTTTGAAGATGAGCATGTTCTTGTTGTTAACAAGCCTGCTCACATGGTAAACTCTAGAATAATCTACTTCCCTCCATTTCAATTTGTTTGTCTGGTTTTGACTTGGCTCCGAGGTGGTGAAAAAAGAAAGAGACATTCTTTTTGAAACGGACTAAAAAGAAAAGTAAGACAAACAAATTGAAATGAAGGAAGTAGTTGTTTTAGGCTTGTTATGCATCTTTCTTTGATGGAACATTAATTTATTTTTTTTAGCATGCGAATGGAGATATTCAAGCATTTGACCACAGTGGAATCACCTACCGTAGTTCTTTTTTATGGTGTCTTGTTCGATAATCGATATCTCCATTATGTGCTCTTGGATTAGAGGGATTTGAGAGTTTTATTTTGTTGTCCATTTCTAGAGCACAAGTTCATTAACCATGTAGATACTCATTGTTAATCAGGAAAGAGAACTCTGATACATGAAGTTCGACGTAATAGTTCCATTCTGGATGTCAGTGTACTTGAATCATTTCCTTAGTTCTAGTAATGATACATATTGATTGAAATTAATAATGTGGATGTTTGAACTACTACTTGACTGTTATAGAAAAGTTCAATGGGATTTTTGTTTCAATGCAGGTAGTTCATCCTGCACCAGGAAATGCTACTGGAACGCTTGTAAGTGGTATTCTTCATCACTGCAGTCTTCCTACTATTTCATTTCTGGGTGAGGAAGTGCTTTCTGATGCGGAGGATGCTTCTGATGATGAGTTGAACGTGTTTTCTGGCAATCGAAGTCCTAATTATGATGACTCTTCTGTTATGTGTGAGTCATCTGTTCGGCCAGGAATTGTGCATAGGTTAGACAAAGGAACAAGTGGATTGCTTGTTGTAGCTAAGGTGATTCCTACTTACAGGCTCTGAAGATGGGTAATTCATGTCTAGTTATCTCCTTTACCTTTTAAGATATGTGTGCTTGTGTTACTAGACTATCTTGCTTAGTTTAAATATCTTTCATGTTGTCTCTACAGAACGAGAATTCCCTTGCCAGTCTAGCTGAGCAGTTTAAGAAACATACCATTAAGAGAGTATACGTCAGCATTACTTGTGGGGTACCAGCTTCAGTCGCAGGACGCGTTGATATTCCAATAGGTCGTGATTCTAATAACAGAATCCGTATGGCTGCTATCCCTGGGACACCTAAAAGTGGAAAATCCCGTCATGCTGTCAGTAGGTGCTGGAAACTCTTTCATACTTTAGTTTTCTTTGCAATGCGTTGATTAGTATTTGAATGTCAAATTCCACAGCTCCTTCCCTGCTCCGTTTAGATCCACCTCCACAACCCCACACACACAACGCACGATCACCCCAAACAAATGTGAAATCCTTGTGGAAAAGGTCTACTTGCTTCTCTTCAAAATACATGCTGATGTGAGTCTTCCAGTGACGAGTAAATCAAGTAATATTTTCAGGTATAAAGTAATTGAAAAACTTGCTAGGGGTGGCTCGGCATTGGTTGAATGGAGGCTAGAAACTGGTCGCACTCATCAGGTACACAATATCACATGAACTTTTAGTTACTCATGACAAATTTTCACTCTTCTGCCCAATCATTGTCAACTTTATGCTTTGCCATCTTGATAATACTACGTTCTTTCAAATCTCAAGCATATGTGCTTCAATCTTTCTAGCCCATTATTCTTAGCATTTGGTTTAATGAAACAGATACGTGCTCATGCGAAGTACCTAGGTATACCTCTTATGGGTGATGAAGTGTATGGAGGTACGAAGAACATGGCCCTTTCGCTTCTTCAGCCTAAAACACCACCAATGTTTCATGGGAAACTTTCACAATTGGTGTCTCAAATTGACAGACCTTGCCTCCATGCTTTAACCCTCGGGTAAACACTGAATATTATGTTGCATCAATTCTGCATGACTAAATACATGTATCAGTATCGATATGTGACTTGATTTGCAGATTTAGGCATCCATTCACAGGCGAGAATATACATTTTACGCGGTTACCTCCTCCTGATTTTGCTGAGATATTAAGCTATCTACGTGCCATTAACACTGAGAAGGTAACTCATCCAAATTACTTCTAATACTAATAATTCCAATCCTCAAATCTCACATTTGGTGATGTGAATAATTTACTTTCAGGTTTTATGAATTCAACACAACATGATACATTGTTTTGATTGAATGTCCATGTAAAAGGAGCAGCAGATTCTTTGATACTAGTTCAACTAAATTTTCTCATGCGCTGACATCTCGAACACAGTTTTGATAATGTAATAGATAGCTATAATGAATTTATTCTTTTTTGTTGTTATATAGTTAAATTACTCTCCTATATTTAATCAGCAGAACTCGAGAAGGCGACACCTGAAGAAGTATCATTCTTTTGCGAGTTTCCTGTTTGAACTATCAAATATTTGTGTTTCTACCTAAACTATCACTGACTATTTGTCAAAACACGCCTTGAAATTAATGAGTTTCCTTATACTTGTGTGTTTTTGTACCATTATCTCTCCTTTTCATTTTCCGAAGAACATTACAGTAAATCAGTCTATAAAACCTATCACCATGCAATAGATAACATAATTCAAACTCTTATTTCTAATACATTTAGCTGCCAACTATTCTGACCTAACTAGACTACCACAACGGTATATTCAGAAACCACAAATATGCATTAGTTCTTCATAACCGGCAAGCAAATGGCCTGCGTATATGTTAATGGAAGTCTGGAAAATAAGCATCACATCTGCCCCAGAAGTCTAAACAACCCAAGCAAGCACCATTCTCCACAACTACAATAAGGTTGGGATCCATTACCCCTTGTAACTCGGCCTAAATATCTGAAACGCAAGAAAAAGGTGTCATAACCAAAGTGAAAATGCATTTTCCATAAAGGCAAATACAGATTCTTTCACAGTTTACAGCTAAAGTGCTTACATTTGGATATAGAGCAAAATATATTGATCCTAAGAAAGTCGTGCATTTTGTGTAATAAGGAGAATTAAGGGTAGCATGCTATAATCCAAATCGGGAAGGCCCTAACTCAGCCAGGATTAATACAAAATCCTAACATCTCTTTGCTGAATGCAAGATGAAAGCTTTCTTCTTCTCTCTGGCTATTAGAGTCAAAGAAATGAATTGCATTCAATTTGAAAGAGAGCGAGAGAGATGAAGTTGGTTTTTTTCTAAAAGATGGTAGCACTTGAGAATTTGATGCGACACTAGCATGAGGCCCTAACTGTCTCACAGGCCTATTTCATTGCTACCATAGAGGAATTGAACAAGTGTTTGCAAGTAATCACAAGCCTATAGGTAAACGGTTAGGGTTGTATTGATTATTAACTCGTTCATGTGCACAACATACTTTTCACGATACTTGAGACCATGTTTTAATCATCAATAAGCATATATCAAGAGAAAGTTGACTGTGAGGAGTTTTAAGCTAGATATTTGAAAATAATTTCCAAAATGAAGATACCTTTTTGAAAGAAAATTAGCTCTTGTATTCACCAACATGCATCCACTTGGTAGATGACCATTTGTTCCCTTTAATCACAGGGCAACCACCTGGAATAAAATTGTTAAGTTGCACAGATCAAAGTTGTTAGAAGACTAAAAGAAAAAATTAGTTCTTTTAGGGAGTAAAATCAGACATCCACTGCCCAAGACAAGAAGAAACTGACAAAAATTAAACTGTTTGCTACAGGTAAACTTGCATCTTTTTCTATCAGAGTTCTTCTAGGGAAGGAAGGAAAGGGGAAACATTTAAATAAGGTTTAAAGGATGTTAATAGTGGGAGATTAAGGAGAAAGAGAAGCACCATGCAGACTTGACGGATCCAAAGTAGCATCAGGCCGCATGCTCCAGAAAAGCAAAGCATCGCCCATCTTTGGTTTGACAGAGAGCCCCCCTTTGGCACATTCTGACAACTCATTCCACCCAGGACTAGAACTGAAGTTTCCCTTTGCTGCTGGGAAAACAGTCTCACCCCCTTCTTCAACATCTGATCTGCATATGCCCCAAATATGCAAATAAAACAAGCAATCACTGTGTATTCCTTATGGATGCGACTTAGAAAAAATTCAGAACTTTTACCATATCTATCATGTAATTATTTGAGGAATCATAAATCTTACAGATACATGAGAATAGTAGCTATGCGTTGGCCCCCATTTTTGGTGTTGAAGTCGTCAAGAAAGTAGTCATAATGAGGCTCATACTTCTGTCCAACTTCATAATGTAAAACTTGTAAACCTTCTCCATGTTCTGTAAACAAGCTAAGCTAATCAGGGCATTCACAAGGGAAGAAAAGCATTATTATGATCCTAACACAGGATGAATACACGTCTGCGCAGAATCAATCTTCATTTCCCTTAAAATTAACATTAGTGACTCTCACAAACAAAAATAGGATCACCTCCTCACGTTTTTGTGTTGTGAAGAGGAAAACCAAACTAGTAAGATCATATTTTGAAGGCCAGGCAAAAGAACAGCCTAAGATATCCCTAGACAGGACAATATATATTTAAGTTCTGCAACTAACATGAATAAAATGGAATGTAAAAATCCTAAACCTCACTTGAGTTAAGCTTAACTATCTAAACCTTCAAAATTAAAGTAATAGAAAATTTTGAAATTTAATGATTACTACTCAGAAGTTTTAAGTTACAACCATTGCTTCTTATAAAAGAACAAATAAAGCACCTAATCGGAGAATGTTTCCCATATATAATTTTTTAATAAGAACTTGTGGATGACAATGACAACAAAGAGTTCATACGCTACGATTTTGTATGGTATCGCACAGTCCTCGTACCTGCAGGAATGAATGTATAATCTGCTATCCTCTTCTCAATATTTCTGATAATTTTATCTCGCCCCCTCCTCAAAAACATTCCCGAACTTGTACGAACCCTGTTATATAAAACTGTCAGAACATCAGTTCCATAGAAAAAACCTTTGTTGTTCGGACTCTCAAAAAATGATGCCGCTCAGGTGTCGTATCCTACAAAAAGGCACTACTTTTGGAGGATCCGACAAACATTCGGTTTCATTTTTGAAGAGTCCAAGCAACATAGGAAAAAACAATTCCCTCTTCCATCCTATTTCAGATGACACCATTTAATCCAACACAAATTTTAGAATATTAGTAAGATTTATCTACTTTCTGATAGCAGTGGAAAAGAGTAAGTAGCGATCGAAAAGTTAACACGTTTGGAAAACATCGCTCAAATTTAGTTCTTAAACTGTGTAGAAGTTGCATAAAATAATTAGTACTATTAAATAGGATGGAGGCAGACATTTTGAGGTGTCTTCAAACTGAAATAGTATCAGATATTGGTTTGGAATGAAGGGCAAAAAATATTATAGATGACGAAGACTTAAAAGATGCTGGTTGTGGCAAACTGGCAATTAATGGAAGTAAAGAAATTAGCAATACAAACCTGCTATCTTTACTCTGACCGGTTTTGCTATCAACAACTGATGACTTCACCATGTGAGGCTTAGCTTGATTTATTAAGTATTCACATTCTTCCTTGGACTGTCGAAATGCAAACCACATTGTCACATTAAAACTTTTCCATTTTACAATACCTTAGTGAATCACAAAAGTAAACACATGTTATAATTAGTATGATCTAACACACATCCAACCTCAAATTGGTTGGGTATACTATATGAATACTTATGCTTTATTTTGGTATGTCTATTCTAACGCTAAATAACTAACCTTTAATTCAAATGAGTGGTTCTATAAAATTAGCACGGGTGTTTCCCCATTCCCTAATCAGATGTTTGGAAGTGAGCTATACTCCACATGGAGCCAAGCAAGTGTATGGCCTTTCCTTTCCATTTGACCTCTTTTCCCACATGACTAGGAATGCTCAGTGACAACCTCTCAATTTTCACCAACTGCCTCTCTTGTTACTAATGTGATCGCACCAATCATGTTCAAGTAAGCTCACTAGATCTCACCTTACACGAGCATACAAATCTCTAACCAAACACCATAACTAATTTTATAGAACAACAATAACAAAACCTTAGCTCACTAGATATTCTCATGCTAAATAATAATTAACCTACAATGCAAATGAGCGGTACTATAAAACTAGAGGCTCTCTAAATATCACCCTTACGCGAGCATAGAAATCTCTAACCAAATACCAGAACTAAAGCAATGTAACAACAACTACTAAACCTTAGCTCACCTATAAGGATATTTTGCTAACAATTCAGTAGACAAATAAGTAACAATTTAACAAAATCAAACCAAAAATGTCAGAGATTATGGTCACATAATGAAGAGCAAGAGCGAAACGCTCACCAAAAAATTGTGGTAAACAAACGCACGAGGCTCCCAAGATAAGATCTCCGTCCATTGCTCGCCTCTTTTCCCCAGTCCGTCACCTTCCCCTCTGCAAATGAATCTCCTCTACTCAGACATACAGTCCAACAAAAACTCATTGGATCGGAAGCAACAGTTAAAACATACTCCAAGCATATAAAATCAGTGCAATTAATCAATTCTCCGAAATCCAAAACAATATACGTACATGTCTAAGTTGAACCGCTTGAACTTGATGTGATCCTGAGCAGTCGACGACGACTCATCATCAGAACCAACAGGAAGATTGAAAATGCCAAGAGCGAGAAGCATTAGAAGCACAACTGTTAGCATCAGAAGCATCGAAAGTACTAAAACCACTGTCGATGATCTCTTCCCTTGGTGCCGATTCAACCTCCCCTTCGCCATTGCTTCACTATAATCTTCACCGAAACCCTAGATTGATCAAATTTAATGCAGCATTCGTTTAGCAAATAAGAGTATTTCCCGGCAACGGAGTTGCTTTTTCCGGTGAGAGTTCGTCGAACGGAAAAAATGAATCGGAGAAATTGAGAAAATCGTATAGGAAGTCTTATTTGACGGTGAATTGTAACTTGTAAGAGAATTTATATTTTTTATGTATTTTTAGATTATGCTGGAAGAAGATTAAAAATAACGGTTTACGTGAAATGACAAATTAGTCCTTTCTGTTGTTTTTTCAAAATTACCTGATTGGGGACTGAGCTTTCGTATTTTGTTTAAAAAGGGATAAAGGGGTTTTCGAAATAGAGCACACTGAATCTAGTTCTCTTTCTCTTGTTTTAATAATATTTAATTAAATTGATTACTTGATGAACGCGCACCAAATTAAGTCATAATTTCAGTAGGATAAAGACATTGACGGTAAAAACAATTTTGATTCATGCTTGTGCTCGCGATAATATCTTCTGCTTCAAGTTAAACGCTCATCAATCAATTACATGAGTATATAATCAGAAACCATAATGTGAATTAACATCTTAAAGCTAACTATTTCTTAAAACCCAATCAATAGCTTTAGTACGAACCCAGGCTTTGTTACATTATGGAACTTTTCGAATAGTTTAAGGGCCTCTGCTATGTGGCACTTAAGCTTATGACCATTAAACAGACAAGGTTAAATCCCTACACAAACCAAACAAGTCTAAAAATTCTCTAATCCTGTTTCTGGAAAGTACAAGTATAATGAAGGTTGAAAGAGTAATGAAAAGATTATAACGATTACAATTGTATTGCATAATCTCCACGCGGAAGAGCTTCACTTGTTAAGGTTCTTGAACTATCACTGTACATTTCACAACACCTGCACAATTAGCATAGCTGAATATCATTCAACAATGGAGAAAAGAAGGGTGGATGGGAGAGTGAATTGAATAGCACATCAGGATTGTAAAGTAACCCAGCCTACGTAGTGATGGAGTCGGAATTTTTACTAAGGGGTTCAAGAATATGAAGAAGCAAAGAGGATTCAACATCTACTATATTTATACATAAAGAATAATTTTAGCCTTGCAATTTTCCGCAGAATCCCATGCCCCTACCTGACTCTGCCCCTGAGCCCCCCACTAGTACTTTGATTGTTAAATTGACATTAACAAGCTTCAAACAGTAACATCACCCTATTATTACTGAGGAGGGGACTGAATTTTCATTTGCGAGCAATAACCAAACTTTGCGAGCTCGTGAACATGATTCTAATTCTCCATCTCATTGGTCTACTTTTAATTCTACACGAGGAAAGCTATTTACTCCAAAATAAAGCTTCATTTTTCGAATGTCAACCTACATTTACAATTTAGCTCTGCTAACTATGCAGTGAAAAGTACTAGTAATGTATAGTAGATACTATCAAGTTTGATTGCAAAGAAGACATACATTCATCAAATAAACATGTCTAACACTAATGACAATAGTTCCAACTTCCAAACTTTCTTCTTTTTTTAACGTTGAAACTGCATCTTGATTTTATAGGCACTTGAAAAGAATCTTTGTAAAAGAGTGGGGAGATCCTGAACTAAGGTATGATTCCATTTTCCTTTGACGACAAAGAAAGTTACAATAGCTTATTCCATTTGGAAGGTTTTTTGTTTAAGACAGCTTTTCGTTCCCTTACTTTTGAGTCTATCAGCTGCAACAAGGGCTGCGGGAACGAGTGATGTGCTTGCCCCGACCGATACCACCATTCATTACCGTGAACCAGCCCCTCTTCAGTATAGGCAGGTCTTTCTTTAGAACAGATTCATTCCAGAACAGAAAACCAAATTGAGAATCAGAATCGAGCTTGGAGCCTATCGCTAGAACGAACAACACACCAGCGACCAGACTTGCTACGCTAGCAGGGCTTGTGGGCAAAGCAAGAGATCTTATTTTATCCTTAAGGATAGGGGAACTAAGCCTGACCTTTAACTACAAGGGTTGATCTTGGAAAACCAAGTTTAGAGAGCTAAAAAGATAACAAATTGCTATCATTCGGACAAATTCATGATATTGCGGTGAGAGGAAGGCACACAACATATCAAATTGCTATCATTCTCCTTTTTCTGATTGATTTATGTGGTCATCCATCGACCTTTTGAAACGGACACAAATTTATTAGTGTTTCCGGTAATGCATTTATATCCAATGTAGTGAAGTTCTGCTAATTGTAACTTTCCTGCAAAATCAACCTTACTTTATTCATTTGAGTTCCATTGACCAAAAGTTAATCTGTATTAAAGATTTTAAGTATGTACCAAAAGTCGACCAATCGGCATCTAACTTGAATCCTACTTCAGATTATCCAATCACCCAATCAGTTCCAATTCAAGAAAATAAATGTAATAATGTTCAACGCTAAAAGAAACTGAAGTTAATGTCATCCTGTATATGGTAATGTATCTTATAGATAATGTTCTGAGAAAAACATGTTATATGATGGGTGTGTATTGAGGGAAAAAAAATTGACTAACCAGAATATCAAGGAGTATTTGAATTGCCACGTTGCTTTTCGATTTCTTGCTTTTGTTTCTCAGCAAGTTTATCCAAAGCAGCTTGCAGAGCATCCCGGCCTCCAATAAGCAACCTGGTGATGACTTCTGGATCTCTCTCAAATCGTGCCTCCTCGAACTCCTTTCGAACATTTTCTCTGAGTACATCACGCCACAGGTTGCCTTGAGAGTTGGCCCACATAAAGAACCGGGTAGCACGGATGACATCTCGGTAGAGACTTAGAGCCTCACGGCGACTGCTAGTGAGTCGCTGTCTATTTAGGAGCTCGTTCTCGTCATCATCAAGGCTCTTCTCCTTTTTGACCACATGTCTATCCAATAATTCCTCCATAGTGTCTGGACCATGGTGCAGAAAGCGACAGTGATGCAAGAGACATCTTGACTCAAAACTATGATTCACAGCAGTTGAAAGATTTCGGAATTTTTGGATATTAGCAGTCATCTTTCACCTCAGTGACTTGGCTGGTAGGGGCAGAGAAATAAGACTTTAAAGCAGGCATATTTTATCAAATTGTCATATTTCACAAGAAAAAGCCAGTAGATCAAAGTGAAGTGAAAGAAATGATCCGAGTTAAAAACACGTTTCTTCAGAATGTACCAACATCCATACAGAACAGCCTTAAGTTTCTTAAGAATGCTATCAAACACAGCAACCGAAAGAGAACAGAAGGGAAAGAAGTGGTGCATGTCTTGTGGTATGCAAGATACTAGGTGATGGAAATAACTCCAACTGACTCTCAAGACCCCTTTTTGGGATAAAATAAGAAACAAACTGTACTCAAGATACTACGTGATGGAACAAATACGCTAGCATGCTGGCATGTATCTTACAAAAGCAATTTCATTCGAACTTAGAACACCTTTCTACTGCGATGCCACTATAGGACTAGAGATACAACGAAACCAAAAAAAACGACTTCTCTTTTTCATTTGACCGCTGTGTAGAGAAAGAGTTCCAGGTCAGACAATGGGAGGACTACCGGAGAATCTACATACTCGTTCCATTCAGTTTAATCAAAATTCAAGTTTTAAAAGTTGCTAACCATAGATTTCAAAGCAAATATATTATTGAACACCACAGAAAAAAAGAAAATTAGCAGCAAAGAACCAAACTTTGGCACACATTAAAAGAAAAAAAATATGAATTAGAATATAAAAAAGACAGTTCGATGCACTAAGCTCCCATAGCAACACATACTACAGCAATTTATTCTTCCCTAGCACTTTTTCTAACAGTTGACAATATGATTGAGCATAAAAACTGGATAAACACAATGTAATCAACATCTCAGTTAAATCAAACACAATATTGGCAATTTGGCAGAGCATAATACAAATAAATTTGACATTTCTCAGAGAAAAAAAAAAAAAAAACAAGAACAACGTAGCTTTTATTGGTTCACAGAAAAAAATCAACTCAAAGTTCGCAACTTTAATATCATTCAGAAAGAGATACAAAGCAGAAACAAATAATTAAAATATGAAAAAAAGAACGTATTTTGAGCCCTAATTAGAGAAAACATTTGAGATCTAACCTGTTATAGAAATCTGCAAATTACTGACTGGAATTAATGAAACTTTGTTGTTGGCAAGAACAGTTTGGGCAATTAGCATTCTATGGAGGGAAGAGAAATTGGAAAATAGGGTTGGCAATTTCGGGTTTGAAGATGGGTCAAAATTCAACCCGTTCATATTTCATATCAGATTTGTGGACTGATACTTCTCGTTAACTTGACATATCAATTTTATTAATAGTAATATTTTAATATTGCTATTAAGTATGTTATATATCATTAATTCATTATTATAAGATTAAGATTCTAATTAACAAGCAATAATAACTAGTTATTTGTGTATTTTAGTTAAGCAAGGATAAATAAAAGAAGGCATAATACGAATGATTGAAAATAATTTATATATATAGAATAATAAAATTACTAAGTACTTGCAAAAATATATAAAAATTATGAAGCTTTAAAATATCTACTTGTAATTCTATATTATCACTTCGTGATTACAAGTATTATCATTTCTACGCAAATTAAGTATTGGGACCAAAAACATTTTTAATCCAACGTCTCAAATGCCAAACAATATTATCCCTAACAAATTCTAAGAACGTTTCACATGAAACCTTTTCCATTGAGTCATACGGTATCGTCTTCAACTTCCAATCACTTTAACGCCATTGATTAACATCGATTCTTTGAGCTTTACATAACGTTGTTTTAATATTCAGATTTTGATAGAGGTAGTTGCAAATCCTTTATTAATATAAGTTTCACTTCTTCATTAGATATATTCATCTGTATAAAAGATTATCAGAATTTACTTTTCAATAATTTGGTGCAATGTAAATGTCAAAGGACTATAATTTCGTTATTTACAAACAATAATCAACACGGGTTAGGAAAAAAAAATTGTTCTAATTTTAGTAGTATTAAAACCATTCCTAATTCGAAAAAGAATTGGATTAGTTTTTTTTCTTCAATATTTTTTAAATTAAATTAAATAAATTATTAGGGTTTCAAAAAAAAAAGTGTTTGGGGTGGAGAGTGGGAGTGGGGTGGGGTACATAGGTTAGTAGTTAGCAGCAAATTCCTGAACACAGCTGAATCCATGGCCGTCACAAAATCTATGGCACGCTTGAATTTCTGCCGCTATTTCCTCAGTTCATTCTCTTCTCAGAGCAAATTTAGATTCTTCAGCTCTGTTTCAACCTCTGAGATCGCTGCCGCCGGAGGAGGCGGCGGCAGTGACGGCGACGGTGAAGGTGAAGGTGAAAATGGGGGACCCATTTGCCGAACTGAGGTGTTATCTGAAGAAGAAGCTCAAATAGCTGAAAAGATTCATTCTTTAATCAAAGATCATCACCGGAAAAACCCTACAGCTACTCCTACTTCCATTCCCTTAAACCCTAACATCACTTTCCCAACTCTCTCCTTCGATTTTTCTAGTATCTCCGATAACCGGTCCATTTCCCCGCCGGTCGTCAGCCGGGTTATCGAGAAATGCGGGTCGGTTCGTCATGGCATCCCATTTTCACAGGCTCTAGCTTTCTTCAATTGGGCTGCAGTTCGTGATTCGTGTGGATCTTTCTTAAACCCTGAGCCTTACAATGAAATGATTGATCTTGCTGGAAAGGTACGTCAATTTGATGTTGCTTGGCATTTGATTGATTCAATGAAGCTGAAAAATATCAAAATACCAATTGAAACTTTTTCGATTTTGATTCGTCGTTATGTTCGTGCTGGTCTTGCTTCTGAAGCTGTTCATACGTTTAATCGAATGGAGGATTATGATTGTAAGCCAGATAGGAATGCTTTTTCTATAGTTATAGGGATTTTGTGTAAGAAAAGAAGGGCAGCTGAAGCACAATCATTTTTCGATAGCTTGAAGGATAAATTCGAGGCTGATGTTGTGTTATACACTAGTTTGGTTCATGGTTGGTGTCGAGCAGGTAATATATCCGAAGCAGAAAGGATTTTTCGAGATATGAAGGATGCAGGGGTCCAGCCTAATGTGTATACTTATTCTATTGTGATTGATGCATTGTGTAGGTCGGGGCAAACTACTCGTGCCTATGATGTTTTTTCGGAGATGATTGATGTTGGTTGTCAACCTAATGCTATTACGTTTAATAACCTTATGCGTGTCCATGTAAAGGCAGGGAGAACAGAGAAGGTACTCCAGGTGTATAATCAGATGAAGAGATTATCATGCTCTCCTGATGTTATCACGTATAACTTTTTGATCGATGCTCATTGTAGGGATGAGAATCGCGATGAAGCTCTTAAGGTGGTTAACGTTATGGCTAAGAAACGATGTGAACCAAATGCTTCTACTTTTAACCCTATTTTTAGGTGCATTGCCAAGGCTCGTGATGTAAATGCTGCTCATCGATTGTATGCCAAGATGAAGGAGTTGAACTGTAAGCCTAATACAGTGACGTGCAATATATTGATGAAGATGTTTGTGGAATCAAAATCTACTGACATGGTTATCAAGCTCAGAAAAGAAATGGACGAGAATGAAGTAGAGCCTAACGTGAACACTTTCAAGATTCTGATTTCCATGTACTGTGGGATGGGACATTGGAATAATGCTTATAAGTATTTCAGAGAAATGATCGAGGAGAAGTGCTTGAGACCAAGTGAGTCGGTTTATGACATGGTTCTAAAACAATTAAGGAAGGCAGGGCAACTAAGGAAACACGAAGAATTGGTAGAGAAGATGGTTGATCGGGGATTTGCTACTCGTTCTGTGTAAAAGGCATTTGGAATGTAGAACATATCAAAGCTTGGAGGAGAGAAGCCTTTTTCGATCTTGTATTGGTACTCCACTCTTTCACTTTTGTCTACTTACTGCTGGAACATTTCAATCATAGTAGCGAATTCATTTTCCTTTTAGTAAGTTAAGTGAAGATCGTTTTTCTTTCTGCTGAATGATAACTTAATGAGAAATATCACGCATCTGTTGATCTTGGATAATCAAGGTAAAGACATTAGAGAGTATTTGATCTTGCAGTATAGACTTTTAACTCACATAGGGATGTTTTCCCTTATAAATTTTCGAGTACATTGTACAAGATTTTGCTTCTTTTTGCTATGTAAGTCAAAGAAAGATCAGATGTATGGATCCACTTATCTTGAAATAAAGTTTAGCATAGTACATTGCATAAATGACATGTCAAATTATATTGATAGTGTAAATAATCTTTACATTGTCAACGTATATAACTTAATTTAAATCCGTTGGATCGGACCTTTTCAGGGGGCATTCGGGGTGGTCATCTGAATCGCTAGCCGCGGCAACGATCTAAACGACTGCAGCCTCTGTGATAATGATTAGCTGGAGTTTTTGTTTTCTTAGCTCCAACACTAAGATTTAGTGGAAGTTTTATGTATTTTTTGCTGCCTGAAACCTCTGCAGAGCTTGAAAATGCGACAAGTAAAATGAAGCAAACAGAAATAACAACGTTAATGTTTTTGTTTCCACTTGTTGAAGCCATTTCTTGGTTATGTTTTTTTTTTGTGTGGATATTAGAGACTAAAAATTCGTTAATATTTATACTAATGTTCAATTCTATTAATATGTAAAAATAGCTTAAGGTAGTACGAATTTTGAGGAATTCCATTGAAATTTGGACAAAGATATTTCTTATTCCCTTTTCTCGTAATGTTTTGTGGTTTGTTAAAATTTTGATACTACAAAATAAAGGTGAATCCAAAATTTTAAAGATCAATATTATTCAAAATTTTGTCGATCCGATGTTACTAGCTTTAGTTTTTGTATTGAAACCTCATTTTATTACAAATGTATGTTTTCATCAAAATAATAAGAAGAAAATAAAAAATTTAAAAAAGAAAGAAGAAAATATACGTCTGAAAGAAAAATAGCTAGTACTAGTGAAAGAGCGTATATTCTATAACGAAATTAAAATATTTTGAGAACTCTACAGAGATCAAATTAGTTCTTAGCGAGCAAATTATATTTTTTAACTTCTATCATTCACAAATTCTCAATCCGACTTGACCGACACGTATCTCTATCATTCACAAATTCTCAATCCGACTCGACCTATACGTGTCTCTAATCTCTATCATTCACAAATTCACAATCCAACTCGACCTACACGTATCTCTATAATTCACATAGGTAATCTTTTAAAAAATAGTCAAAGTTAACCTAATATTTAGCAATGTTAATTTTTTTTTTACCAATAAGTAGAATATCAAAAGTAATATCATACATTTGGAGTATTTCAAATCTATTTCATCAAATCAAAATAAAAGTAATGGTTCGGTACATTTTTTAAGTAGAATGCCAATAACTTCCTATATTTGAATGTAGTTTATAAATCTATTTGAAGTGAAAAAAGAAAAAGAAAAAAATGATTTGTTTTACTTTTTTTTCATCAGATGATTTGATTTACTTGGGCTCTATTTTTGGCGCTTAAATCAGATGCTTTTGTGGGCTTAAAATATTATTCACCTTGCGCGATAGTTAAATTTTGAAAATATAGTTTGATATGTGTAATCGGTCATGATATGGTGCCCCATGCAAAATAAGAAGCGCGAATTTGAATTTCTTCCCAAAATAAAAAACAAATTTCGAAATTGATTGACTAATTTGTTTATAAGAATGTGTATGTTACTATAGAGATCGAGGGGAAACCGATTATTAATGTATAATCGAAGAAGCAAATGATTTATTAATTCCTCATGTTTATTTCACATATACATGAATTGATACATAAATCTTCGAATAAACCATAAATCACATAGTATTAAATTATATTGATAGTGTAGATATTCTTTACATCTTCAACGTATATATAATAATGACGCGAATCGACCATTTTAGGGTTGGCTATCTACATCTTTGCGGCAACGAGTTAGAGCACTGCATCCTCTGTGATAATGTTTATGTGGATTTTGTGATTTTTCACCGCTAGTACTATGGTTTGGTGGAAATTTTATATGTTTTTTGCTATCGGAAACATCCTCCGCAGAGCTTGAAAATGCGATAAGTAAAATGAAGCAAAGAACAATAATAACATTAATGTTTTTGTTTCCACTTGTTGAAGCCATTTCTTCGATATGTTCTTTTGGTGTATATGGACATTAAAAGTTTGTTAATTCTTATACTAATGTTCAATTCTATTAATATGTAAAAATAGCCTAAGATAGTAAGAATTTCGAGGAATTCCGTTGAAATTTGGATAGAGACTAATATTTGTTATTCCTTGGTCTCAAAAACAATTTGTGGTTAGTTAAAATTTTAACCAAAATTAGTGGTGGATAAAATATACAGACTTAAAATTTTTATACGGGGCATTAATAGTTCCGTATATTTGTAATATTGATATATTTTTGGTCTTTTTTTGAATTATAGTCTATTTTAATGTTTAATTTTGTCCACAATTTAGTATATGAAATGCTAAGTCGTTTTCCTCTCTATGATAAGCAGGGGTGTGCATTCGGTTTTTTGGTTTGGTTTTATACTATTCGGCTTGGGTTTTTGGTTTTGATGAAGTGTAACCCAATCCAAACCAAAATAAATTTGGTTTGGTTTGGTTTTTCTCTTTTTGGTTTGGGAGTTCGGTTAATTGGTTATGTCAATAATTAGAAACATAACAAAGTTATATTTGCAATTTGGAAAAAATAATATATATATATATATATCACAAGCAAAACATAAAACACAATACTTAAAAGTATATCAATTATAGATGTCCAAACATAAAAGGTAACTAAAAAGGGACAAAAGTGGTTAAGTGCCCACTTGGATTGACTTATTTTAGGTGCTTTTAAGCCAAAATAGTTTTTAAGCAGTTTTGAAGTGTTTGGGTAAAGTTAAAAAGTGTTTATAAACACTTATTTTAAAGCCAAAATAACAAAAATAAGTCAAAAGCCATAAGTTAGAAATATATAACTTATAGTCATAAGCCAAAAGCCAATCCAAACAGGCATTAACTCCAACTTATATATATATATATAAAATTCGATTTTTATTTTTCTAAATCCGAAACCAAACCAAAAAATCAAACAAAGTAAATTATAAATCCAAAACCAAATCAAAAAACCAATCCAAATTAGAATTCGGTTTGATTTGGTTTGGTTTTTCGATTTAATCCTTAATTTGAGCAAAGATGAGAAGAAGAGTGTTCTCGCCTTTATGTTATTACACGTGAAATAAATTGACGTGATGAACTTCTAATTGTTTTTTTAAAAAAAAGGAAGAAGAGAGAGACTATGAACATCGTTTGAATTGACTTAAAAAAAGTAGTTCTTAAGTCAAAAATAAAAAGTCAAATTTAAATAACCATTTTAAGTCAAAAAATAAAAAGTATTCCCCTACTTTTGGTTTTAAACTTGTTTTAAGTCATTTTTAACTTATTTTTTTAACCTTAACAAAAACTTCCTAACTTATTTTAAGTTATTTTTGGCTTATTTTAAGTTATTTTTATATTTGTCAAATACTTTTGAAGTAAAAAACTGACTCAAAAATAGGTTTGACCAACTTTTAAGTCAATCCAAACACCCTTTAAAGTATGAGGGTGGACCAAAAATGTACTAATACTATAAATATGGAGGACCATTAGTGCTTCACGTAAAAGAACAGAGATGATATTGAATCTAACCCAAAAATAAGTGGTCGATTTAAGATTTTTCTCAAAAAAAAAATGCAGCAATAAATAAATCAAGAACCAACTTCTCATGTCAAATTTGTGAACATTGTTACATAAGAATAAAGTGTTTTGTTATTGATAAACGAAAATGTTAAACTCAATAGTACAAATTATTAAAAATCTGTTATTGACTTATTGCTTTCTCAGAGCTAGAACTCGAGATTCGAGAATTATGTGCCATCACCCCGGGTGCGGTCCAAATTACCACCACGACATCTAGTTAAAGGACTGCAGCCTCTTGTATAAGGATTTGCTGGAATTTTTGGTTGATTTTTAGTCTCATTTAGAGGTGATGGAAATTTTATGTACTTTATGGCATTAGATACCTCAAAAAAACATGAAAATACAATTAGTGAAAAGCAAATTAGAATAACAACGTTATTTTTTGTGTTTCCACTTGACATAGTCATTTCTTGGTGATGGTATATGTGAGAGTTACATGAAACATAAATAATGCAATTTAATGAACTTGTAACTTGCCTTCAAGGTATAGTCATTAAGAAAATTGAGATACATCAAGTATTGGATTTTTTACTCATCATATTAATTAAAGAGGAACATGAATTGATAGTAAGTAGTAATTAATATGAAACGTAACGAGTAATTAATTAAAGGAAGTCTTTTTTTTTTTTATCTTTTATGTACAATCTCGTGTTATTTACTTATTAACTTGCAATTTCAAAGGGGTGATTTACAAGAATGATCTTGGGGTGAGCGATCTTGAATTTTTTTTACTTCACTTGTCCTAGGAACAAAACTTCAAATTTAACAATTTTTTACTTTTGACTTTTGATGTTGAAGGTTTTTTTATGAGATAAACAAGAGTAAAAAATTCAAGACCACCTATTTTAATTTTATGATCATTGGTGTAATAATCATCAATTCAATCAAATTCACGAAATCTTTATTCCTCGAGATCAAAGTTTTTGCGTGTTAGACTTACAGGAACAATTAAGAAAAATCTTAAATCTAGATCAAATTCGTTAAAATTTTGATAATATTCAAATTCAAGACTTTTAGTTTATGAATTTTAAACCATATTTTTTTTTCACTTACAAAGTTCAAATAGTCAAAAGAAAATAATGGAAGCGGGTCAATAGGAGAATCCTTAAAAACTTTGTGCTAATTATTTCGAGATCCAATATTCTCCTCTTATCCCAAAGTTTTCCCATAAAATTGTAATTCGATTCTATTCTTCTCCCACCATTCCCCAAATTAAAGACGGAATATAAAAATTTATGTATTTCTATAATAATATTAAATTAACGTTATATAAAAATAATATGATTTACAGTCTTCAATTGCCAAACAAGAACTAACATAAATTCAAAGAAAGAGTTGTCACTTTAATTGCCAACTCATCATACATTCAACTCTTATAACGAGCTTAAGTTAATGATATGTAGTAATAATAATATTTCTTATAATCAAATATTTATAGATATAAGAATAGTCCAACATATTCATGTGAGTTTATGACTATCACCGTAGATCCGTCCCTACGAACATCACGCACACGAAATTAAAGAAAGAATAGCTACTTGACAGCTAGTCGGACGTATTTTTAATTAAAATCTTGTGGTAGGTCAATGGCAGTGTTGGTTTTATAAGTATTAGGAGTAACTCCAAGTAAACGTAAACAATCAACTCTTATTTTTTTTTCTAATTTATTATTTAAAAATCAAATGGAATTGTAAATCAGAAGGCAACAATTAAATGGTAGTAGCTGCTTCCACGTTACATTACTTATATTACATGTAAGGTTCAATTCTTTTTTATATATATATATATATCATACCCTTCTTGTATATTATATGAGTATATTCATGAGTTATATAAATTTTGTCTAATAGTTCACATTACGTAATATGCTTAC